TGGCCCCTGCGGCAGCCGGGGTCCCGGCGCTGGGCGTGCTGCTCCCAGCCTTAGGCACGCGGAACCCAGCCATCCCTTGCAGTACCTTCCGCAACACCAGTTCTCTCCAACCCCCATCACTGAAAAAGCGCTTATATTTGGGGTTAGTTTGGGCCCGGATCAGGCCTGAAATCTACACAGAAGACGAGCGAGTCGGAGTGGAGATGCGGCGGAAGCCAGGGCACCCACTGGGGAGGGTGGAAAGCGCTTTATCAGATCTCCTACCCCGTAGCGGGCGATAGCTGGTAACTCGAGTAGAGTAAATAGAGACACGTGGGTGCCGGCGGGAGAAAGCCGCGAGCAGAGACCCCCGCGGAAGGGCTATTTCAGGCCGCGCGAGAGCTTCCGAAGGGGGGTGGGGGTGGCGGATGGACCCTGATACCCGACACTGCACTGGCCACCCTGGTTCAACAGCTGGGAACCGCGTTGGAGGAAATCCGGTAGAAAAGTTCTGACATTCAGATGATTTCACCAACGATTTTTTCCCTCCAAAGAAACTTGGAGGGTATACCCTTTTTCCTTAAATGGCATCCTTCTGCCCCCAAAAAGAAAGCGTGTGGTTTTGGGGGCGGGGGCATTTTGGGTTTTAAACAACGCGTTTAAGAACACTTCAGAGTTACCTTCTTTATCCCAATGGCAGGGGTGAGTACTCATTTTGGAAGGCTGGGGACCTGGGTTCTAAGGAGGACATTTAAGGTTGTTTTTTATCCTCTGAATCTTTCATGCCATTATGCCAATTTGAGGGGGACATGGTGGTGGGAGGTAGGGTGCAGCCAACCCCATTTAAATGGTTTGTGACTGTGTGTGTATTGAGGGTGAGGAGGTGAGGAAGTCATTGCGGGGATGCATGTCCAAAGAACCACCAAAAAACACTCAGGCTAAACTCTCATATTGTAGAGGAGCCTCTGTTTCTTCCTACCCATTTTTGGCTCTCATTTATTCCATGAGTAAATTTGCCACCATTTCACATTTTCTGCATGTTTCTGCTCTGGGGAGAAGGGTGCTGCATTTGAAGCCCAGAATCCAGGTATTAGGGCTCTGTCAGTGTTTGTGTTGGTGGTAAATGGGCATGGGGCAGCCCCAAGGAAGATGGTGAAGGGGGTAATACCACTGATTTGCACGTGGTTGAGCCTGGGTGGATGGTGGTTACCAGAACTGATATTAGCTGGGCTACCTTTTAGATGTCTATAACCCGACTCTCAAATTTTCCTTTCTTTAACCACAGAGTAGTTCACTTTTCTCTTGTAAGCTTGCGCTCAGCCAGCCAACTTATGGTACGTTATAAGGAGTGGAGCTCTCTTGCTGGGTCTGGCTTGGGACAATGGCTTTAAGCCCCCATCTGTGAGTGGTTGCCTTATTTTTTATTTAAAATGTCATTTTCAGTTGCAAAGTGATATTTCAGCACGGTTTTAATCAGCTCTGATTGAAGTGAACAGTGGTTGAAGAAGCTATGGAAACAATCAACCCCATTAACTCAAACTCCAATCATACTAGGCATCCACGCAGCCTTAATGCATTTTAGCAAACAGCAGTCAGAACAGCAAATTTACTATATTGTTAATTGTTTTTCCTCTTATTATTTATACTGTTCTCCTCTTGGGCAGATAATAATGATTCAGAAATACATGTTGAAAAGAANAATTGTTTTTCCTCTTATTATTTATACTTTTCTCCTCTTGGGCAGATAATAATGATTCAGAAATACATGTTGAAAAGAAAAAGATTTCCCAGTACTCGACCCCTAGCCTCCACCTCTTAGGTTAATAAAACAGGTGATTGAGATGCACCTANAAAAGATTTCCCAGTACTCAACCCCTAGCCTCCACCTCTTAGGTTAATAAAACAGGTGATTGAGATGCACCTAAACTACCTCTTTTGAGTTACCAGTGGACACACAATCAGTATTGTCACAAACTCTAAGGTGATTTTCTTTCTTTTGGGGGTGGGGATTCATGCTGGTAGGTGGCCAGACAAGCACAAACCTCGCAGGAGTCCTACCATGACAAGGCCAGAGAACACCCTGATGACGGTAAGACTTAATTCTACTTCTCCTAACTTTATCATTTAACAAGTGCAATTTGTGAATGTAGGTACATTTTGCTATTTTGAGTTCAAAAAAGCCTAGGATCAGATGTGACAAGATTGTGCCCATTATTTTAACAAAATGGTAAAGAAAACCCAGGAAACTTAGTGCTTACCTCTAATGTATATTTATGTAATTTTAAAACTTGTCTTTGAATGAGTTAGGGAGCTTTGGATTTCATTTGGCTTCCAGATTCTTTGTGGAAGAGGAAATAATGAGTTTCCCTCTTTTCTTCATTTTACCTAAAGTTCTAATCGGTTTAGATCTTTAGCATTTTTCCTACATTGTTATAAAGAGTGACACAGTCTAAACCAATTTATTTTCCAACAGGAATAGTTTCAGATGGATTTTCGTTTGTTAAATTAATGTTTCCCTTTACAGTGAGAAGGCAGGCAGAGAATGCTTATACTAAATATGGCTCAATAAAGCAGAATCTAACTTGTAAAAATATAAAACTTTATTTGTAAAATTAGGAACTATGCATATGAAACATGATAGATTTCCTCCCCACTTCTGATTCTTGCTCAAAACTGTAAAAATTGTATATATATTTTTAGATTTAAGGAGAATTCTGTGTGATTTTAAAAGAATCAAGGAATCTGTAGGGTTTCCTTGTTGGACAGTCAGCTTTTCTGTTCTCCTTTAATTATTTACAATTGGCTTGACCAGAACGAAGTGTTTGTACGTACAATATGTCAGCCTAGAGAAGAAGGGAAGAAAACTATAATATCAGGCTTCGTTCTGAGCTACAAGGTAGTTACACAGATTAAAGAGAAGAAATGTATATACTGAACGCAGGCAAATTACTTTGGCAAAACGATGTAAGTGTAGCACATAAAATTAAGTCTCCTGGAGTTAATCCTTCATAAATTTGGGTTGTTGCCCATATACTAGTTACAGCTCTCTCCCTCAGTAAAACCTTGACATTTTCTAAAAATCTGGAAGCACAGGTAGAATTTTTGAGTTTGCCTGTAAGGTGGAGTGTAACTTTTAGTGTATAAATATATATGTGTGTGAATGGCTAGATGGCCTAATATATTTAAATTGCAGCTTTAGGTTTGTGTGTGTTCTTTCATGTGTCTCTATTTCTTAGTCCAGTTTGTTAGTGTTAGAACAAATTAAGTTAGATGGATAACACTTATTTTTGTGAAAACACCAGTCAGTAGTGGAAGTAAATTGAACCACATGTTTTTAAAGCATGGTTCACTGCTAATTTAATTTAAGAGAATAAATACTGTCAATCTAAAATAGAGCATAATAATTCAGTTACGATATTTTGTAAACAACTCTTTTTATGTAAAGTCTGATTTGTCATAGAACTAGTTGATTTTCAGATAAAACCCGGTTATATAAAAAGGAAGCCAATGCATCATCAGTTGTTCTTTGGATTCTCTCAGGCAAGCATCCAGACGGAGGCCTCTACAACAAGGGACCCTCCTACTCGAGTTATTCCGGGTACATAATGATGCCAAATATGAATAATGACCCATACATGTCAAATGGATCTCTCTCTCCACCCATTCCGAGAACAGTGAGTAACATGCCGATGTTGCAAATTATTTTCAGAAGAGCAAATTAATTTGTATTTTGGCAAAATATTTTTTTTTACATTGGAAACACTTTAATTATATATGACCCGTCATTGCTACATAAGTCCTGTTGTGAGGAATGGCTGCCTTAAAAGAGTGCTAACTTTGATGTCTTGCATTTGGAATTTTAGCTTTTGGCTTATTGGTTAAGATTAATAAATAACAGATCACCAATTGTCATGAAATCAAGTGAAGATAAGTCTACGAACTTACAATCTGATGAGTATTGTGTTTTTTGTGCTGATGAGAGGAAAAAATTGATTTACTCTTTCAGTTAGCTAAGTACTGTATAGCTTTCACTACCCTTAAAGCTATGTAGACTCAGTGCTACTTTGGCTCATTTGGAGCTCAACATTGGGAATGTTACTTCAGCTTTTAAAACAGTGTCCTCCTCTTATTGTATTAGCTAATGTTTCTTTAAAAGCAGTTGGGATGAGCTATTTTTACTTTATTATCAATTGCTGAGAAAATTTCACTTGAAAATAACCCTGTGAAAATTGCTCTTTTTATCTCGTGGTTCTGTTAACTTGCAGTGTTCTAAAAATGCAGTGACATTATAACTGCATGATGTAAAGGTATGGCACTATGAAGAATTGACAGTATTTCGGTTTTGCTGGGAAGTGGAAACCTCATTTATATTGAGAGAGCATCTGAAGGGTAACTGTGTGGTAACTTGTGTAGTGTGTGAGCATGCGGAGTGCTGGTGATGGGGTGCTCCCTGAGAACTGGCCCTGTGGCGGTGGGATTAATATTTACTGCTCCGTCAATATATTTACCTTCCTTCAGTCTCACTCTCCCTCTACCACCCAAAAGTCAATGGGAAGCATATATGTCTGGGTCTTGGGGATTTAGAGTTTCAGTCTACCTGGCCCTCCTCAGAGTCAGATTCCGATCATAAAAAGCAACCTATGATTTTTGCCTTACTAGCCCAGTCCTTCCACTAAGTGAAAAAAAATCAATCACAGAATCTGGGGAAAGTACTGTCATTAATCCCTCAGTGGAGAGAATCTGGGATTGAGAAGATTCACCAAAATAGCAGAGAGGAATGGCTCTTACTCGCAAGAGTATTTGCGTTTATCTTGATTATCCACAGTACTCAAGTGTTGAAATGATAGGTACGTGAAATAGAACTATTTTATGTGGGCACTGTGATTTAGAAGTTATTGTAATTTTTTCCCCACAGATTTCAAAAAGATACTTGACCTTTCAAGTAGGGAATAAGAGTTTTCTAATTTTTATCTCGCTGCTAAAATGGCGACCTGGGAGATCTTATGATGGTTGTTATAGGAAATAGCAATTTGGCATTTTAAAGGGCTTTTAAAATGTTTAATGATAGAGATGCCTGTGTAGTAAATATGAATCTCCTACCTAAAAAGTGAATGAATGAACAAAAACAAATATAGTTTAATATTTAGCGACCATCCCCAAATAAATGCTTCTCTGAGTTTTAAAATTTGTAGGAGACTTCATATTTGTTGAGCTGAACATAAAAACATATCAGATATTTCTTTTATAGTTGGGATATTTTGTTTGTTGGGTTTTTATGAAGAGGGGTGGAGAATATGTTTAGATAAGGAATAATTGAAGATTTCTGTTGAAAGGCTCTTTAGAACAACAGATAATCTTTCTGATAAATCCAGAGTATAGTTTCTGGCTTGTTAAACAATAGAAAATAGCCACTAAAATAATCTTATACTTTTCAGCCGTGCACACAGTTAATGCTTAATATGTATTTGTGGGATTTATTCCATAGTTCAGCTACTTCTCCTTTCAAAACAAATTTTAAAGTCACTATAGTAAAAATCTAGTGGTATTTATAAAGGATCCATACTAATATTGAAAATTAAGCTTCTCTTCCTCTTTCAACCAGTATTTTCTGCCTTCAGCATTTCTCTCCAGCTTTTGCCCCCCCCATATTAATCATTTTGAAATTTTGATAGAGAATGGAAGGTATTTATTGTTAGTGTATGTATTAAAATTTTGAGGTCAGTGAATTGAACAGCCATTCATTGCTTAGGAAAGATTTGTGGCCAGATAAATGTTAGTGGGTGAAGAGTGGAGGAGAGGGGTGTGGTCAGGAAACAGTTACTTTACCCTGTTATCTGCTGCTTTGCTTTATGCTGTTACATTTTTGGACATATTTATTTTAGGTACATTTTCTTGCAGATATTCTGCAGTTTGCACAATTCCAGAAGCTTATCCGTTTTAACCACAAGGCTATATCCAATTTTTTTGTTTAAGGTTCCACTGAAGTGAGTTGCAGGCTTTGGTTTTTAATACCTAACAGCTGTTTTTAACGTGTGTGAGACCCAAAACACTTTAACCGGAAGGCAGCCTCTCTCTTTCACCCCTAACCACACTTCTGCCTTCTTGCTCTCTAACTTGGTCTGCTACCGAGGCTTTGTATAACTGACATCCAGATAGTTTTTTATCGAGGGTGTCAGGGAGTAGGGTGACTATTTGTGTTTGGGTTTAAGGTGAGAGAAGCCCTGAGGCATCCCAGTTCCTGGAATTTGCATTACAAACAACTACTTGTTTACGGCATCTGCTGCCTGCAGGTGTTAGAACTAGAAAAACATCTGGGGGTGGGGGAAGGCCCTGACTGCCCCTTCTCCACACAGAATCTTCCATTTGTAGTAACTGCAGGTAATCCTGAGAACACCAGCTAGGGCACAGATAAGTTTCTGCTAGTAGCTCATTCTAGCAATTCTATAAACTTTTCCTCTTTTTTAGACAAAATGACATACATGTGATCGCACAGCTTTTACTTATGACCTGAGTACAGCATTACCTACTCAGTAGAACCACCTTCTCCAATCCAGCTTTTTTCCCTTCAGAAGGGAAAGTTTAATGAGCTGATTACATTCTTCCAGAACTGGAATTCTTAGAGGTGTGTCTATACCACAAATTTTACAAATGGGCATCTCACAGAATTTTAAGTAAGGATTCTTACCTCAGGCAAAATGGGCCTAATGAGAAAGTACCTATAATAGTAGCACATTTGGTGTCAGTGTGAGTTCTTGAAACAGTAAACCTTGGCTTGTCTCCCATAGAGAGCGAGAAGATGCAGAAGCCTGTTAAATATGTCAGAGCAGAGACCCTGCCTTTCTTTCTCTGAGTCTTATTTATGAAAATCCCTGTAGGCCAATGGTAGAGGTTAACATTAAAAGCAAAAAATAGTTGCCTCCTCTGTGGGGTCCGGGCACTTGTGTGCCTGAATACCGTGTGAGCCATGAGCTTGGGGGGCTTTAACACAGTGGAAGTTCCCTTTGGCCTGGCGCACTGCGGTTATTTATCTTAGGTGTCAGGCTTCCATTTGTCCCTCACACAGCCCAAATGTTTAACACCTTTGAAGAGAAACATCTCATTTCTCTTCAGCCGCTCAGGGGAGGGAAAAGCAGCCAGCTTCGTGCAGGAAACGACAAGCGTTGCAGCTGGGTCCTACCAACCACAGCAGCACCTGGCTAGCCTAGCTGCCGACTGCATGTTTGTTTCCTTGTGAACTTTCTGAGGATGGACTTTTAGGCGGGACAGGAAGATGTTTGTTTGCAATTTTTTTTCTTATTTTTATTAGACGTATGGTTTTTACCTGAAGGGAATCAACATTTGGATTTCTGATGAACAGAATTATACCTATATCTTGGTCTTAACATCCCCCCATGTTTGTATTTGCTTACAAACAGCTAAAATTTGATTTTTCCATTGGTCACTTCTGGAATTAAGGAACTAAGGTAGATATGTCTAGTCAGTGAGCTTACACACTTAAGTCACTGTACATCACATTGCTGTGTAGCTCTGAGAATAATCACGGAAGTAATAATTAATTGAAGGGCAGAGGAGACTCTGGCTTGTATTTTGAGCAAGATGTTTAAGGCAGTGTGTCTTTTTACTGCAAGGAGCTACTTAATTTAACTTAATGGTAAATTATTTTTAATTTTCTAATCTAAATTGTACGCTTTTTGAAGCTAAGTGTATTAAGTTTTCTTCTTTACCTCAAGTGCAGAAGTTAAGTTTTAGAAAGTATGTTCTCTCTCAGATTTGAATGCGGATGTCAGAAGAAAGCATGGGGAGATTCCTTAGAGCCCTAGACTCTTCTGTTGGGTTCATTCTTAATTGTACTGCTACAAAGTTGGGAAAGGATCACAACAAGAATAATCGGGTGCTGTTGCCATCCCCCCTTCAGATAGCGTAGATAGCTTATGGCCAATAGTTTGCTTATTCCAGTGTCCCAGGGAGCCACACTGAAGGGCCCCACAGGAGATGGTGTCCCATCTGCATGACTGGTACCACGAGAGTATGATCCTTATTCAGATATGTCTTTTTGATATGACCCTAGAAATGTCTTGTTTATTCATAAAAACATGANATCTGCATGACTGGTACCACGAGAGTATGATCCTCATTCAGATACGTCTTTTTGATATGACCCTAGAAATGTCTTGTTTATTCATAAAAACATGAGAAAACCCCAATTTCACTAAAGCAAGGCAATTGAGCCAACCTGCAGAAAATCTTGCTCTTTGAAGGAACCCTCTCCCTGCACCCCCTTAATACAGGTCCTGGACTTGTTCTCATCAAACCCATTATTTTGATCTAGTCTCTCTTGTGGTCAAAGACTCATGTGTGATTTAACAGGATTTAGGCCTCCCAAATGCATCTATCTGGACTTGAATTTGTAGCCTCACAAGTGTTCTTCCATAATATCAACTGAGAAAATTTTGCAGCTTTTTTTTTTTTAAACTAATCCTGTTAGTTCTTTAGACAGAACCATTTTTGGTTTATGTGACTTTTTTTTTTTTTTAAAGCAGTTGGATCATTTCATTCCTCTCTGATTCCTTTTGTTTCTCATTTAGATATTATAGACATGATTAGAATTTTATAAATCTCGTATCCCTTTGATTTCAAGATAAACTTGGAATTTAAAGACAAAATATGCCAGGAT